TCTTACCATAGTTGGTTCTAGGCTTTGTCACTTCTAGTTTTTTTCGTTTCCTAGCGTTGTATGTTAAGGTTTTTTCTTTGAAGCTTAATTGTGAATGTGTACCTTGTGTTATGATTTTATGTATTAGTATACAAGTTTTAAGAATGTATAGTTGTCTAATTGTTAGGATTTTGATATCCTTGTAGATGTTAAGTGTTGGTGTTAGGTAGTCGTAGTTATAAAGTGTTTTTATTGCTTTATTTTGTAAGACTTGAATTTCTTGGATATTCGATTTCGAAGCAGTGCCCCATATCTCAATCAGGTATTCTATATGAGGTCTAACTAGAGCGTTATAGATCATTACTCGAGCCTTACTAGGGACGCAAAAGGACATTCGACGTAGTGCACCAATAACAGGAGATATTTTGGATTTAATATATGCAATATGGTGTTTCCATGTTAATTTTGTGTCCAAAAAGAGGCCTAAATATCTTTCACCACTTGATTTTGTAATATTTTCTTTATTTATTGTTAGTTGGATTTGATGGTCAATATTCTTATTTTTTGCAGCAATGATCATGTATGATGTTTTTTTCGTATTAATAGTTAATAAGTTAGATAGAAACCAGTTGTTTAAAATATTTAAATCATTTTGTGCCTCTTTCACGATATCTATCAGGTTGGGTCCAAAATAAAAGAGACAGGAAAAAACAAAAAATTTTTTTCTGCGTAAAGTGTAATGGTGCCTGATGTTTTAACATTGTTTATATTATTAATATAAATTAAAAACAACAACATTTAATCACTAAACTGATTTTAAAATTCTTTTCACCAATGGAAAGCTACATTATCAGCTAGTAACATAGGATTTGTAATTAATTAGGAGTAGCTTTTTACCGCCATAACCGACATAAACGCGGGCGGAGCCGCGGGCAGACGCTGTTCAAATATAAATCAAATATTTTACAGAGTTTACATTTTCATAAGTTTCCTACTAATTGATGAAACATTTCCATTAGAAAATGGTCTAGACATTTAGCCTTAGATTTTATGAGAAAAGCAATTTACTTTGTAAATTAATTTGAGTAGCTCGACAATTTTGCTTAATTGTGTTTCTTACGAGTATAACCTCCTAAGTAATGTTAATTTCTTATTTATTAACTTTTAACAACTTATTACAGTGTTCTTCGTTTTAATAAATTTAAAATTGTCCATGTTCTTCTGAGGTATAAAATAAAGCAGTATTTTTTATTTAGCACATTACTTTTTTATTCAGTTCCATTAATAAAATTAGGGATGAAAAAGGCATGGACTTGAAATGTCCTAATTTGAAATAAAACACATTTATGGGCCGTCTCCACTTACAGAAAACTGGTGTTGAGTAATTCTTTCTTTGCATTTCATGAAGTCGTTGAAGTCCCCCTGATTCTTGGAGGGGGTGGGAGGGGTTAACGCAAAGGGTGGCAACGCATTTGTATCTTTTGAGTTACAGTTCTCTGTGAGCGGCGGTAGTCACTTACCCTCTGGTGACCCTTTTTTTTATTAGCCCCCTCTTACATGCACGGCCCACGGCTAGTGCAAACTGGTCGAAACTTCAGGTTATTCACAGTTATGTGACAGTTATTATGTGATAGCATTAATACCCGTACATACACATAATTATAAATCACTACCTCTTATCTCTGTGATAACCACGTATTCTATATCCTTTCCTTTTTAAAAAGAAAACGCCCGCACTAGGAATAATATCCTGTGTCGCGGGGGACTTTACAAACATATATGCAACGGACACAAAGAACACCCAGACTCAGAACAACAATTTTTGGATCATACAAAGTGTTGTCCCGTGTGAGGGTCGAACCCACAACACTCGGCTCAGTAGAAAACAGTGAGGTGACCGCTTAAACAAAATTAAGTATATTTATTTAAGCTACATTCATATGTATGCATATTTAAGTTCACTTTCATGGTTTAAAAACATTTTTCTTTTACAATTATACCAGTTTGTTTGAACAGTAAAATCGCTCCAATTACCAAAAACGTGTATTTATTGTCACAGCCAAGCATCAAAGTATTTAATTGCGTTCAAAAATCGACCAGAGCTGAGCTCGAACACCCAAAATAAACACAGCGCTAATTATATTCAGCAAACGCCGTTTCAATTTTACGCCAATTGAATGATCAAAGGTTCATATACCTTAATTAATCATTATGATTAACCCTCTACGTTTATTGAGCACATACTGAGGTATTCAGTTGGAAATAGGGTAAAATATTAGCTGTAATATTAGGGTTATTTTTACTTTGTAAACGGGGTTAGATGGAAATAATATTCATGTTTTGTATTCGTGAGTTTTATGGAGCATTTTGGTGTTGCTATTTGTTATTCGAGAGTGAAAGAAAGAGTGAGAAAAAAATGTTTTAGTTCATCTAAACTGAAGAGTTTGTTGGTATGGTTGAAAGCGCTAATCTTAGGGAGTATTGGTTCGAATTGTAAAATTATGATACTGTTAGATTACACATTTATAGGGGAATATGATGGCTCGCAGAACGAACCTCCGTCCTCCATAAGCGCAGGCCTGGGGGTGACAGGTGAGGCCATCTGTCACCCTAGCAGAAGCAGGCCGGGGTGGCGGCGAGCGCGTTGCGAAGCGCGCTCGCTTCCAGGGAGCAGAGGGAACATGGGGTTCCCACACGGGGGAGGGTCGTCTACTCGTCTGTCGACTTCCTTTCTAGGGTATACCTGGTTCCCCGGCTATTAGTACCCGAGACGGCGTGCGGTTTTAGTCGGTTCGAGTCCGACATGCCACCGATAGGTGGTATCCGAGGGGATTTCAGCACGGGAAAAAAAAAACGGGAATATGAAGGCTATTTTGACGTCACATTACGATCAATACCAGCGTTGCATCAATGATAAATGTTTCAGAAACGGGGATCAGCTATTAATGTATATAAGCAACATATGTTTTATATACGACTACAAGAAATTATCACGTTATTTTTTGCTGACGGCTGTACTTAGATGGCCATAGTCAGTTACTACTTAGTGATCTTATTGCTATATGTTATACTAGCCGGGGCCCGCGACTACGTTCGCATGGAATTTGAAAAGCACTGCCTTAGTGGTGTAGTACGGTACGCGACTGCACTCCATGAGATTCCCGACCCGGGCAAAATTTTATAGGGTTTTTAGGGTTTTTCTTAAGTTTTTTTTTAAGTTACTCCTTATGTAGACAGCTGTACTAAAATATTATCAAAATTGATTCAGCCGTTTTTAAGATTATCGGGAACAAAGAGACACTCAGAAAAAAAATAGATTTTTAGGCTTAGGTATTGTCGAAATAACCGCGTGGGCATGTAAAAACCTATTATTTTGACATTACAAACAGACACTTCAATGCGGGCCTTTTAGGAGTACTTAGTATTTGTGTAGAATATATTTTTTTATGAAATAAAGACCAAATGAGCACACAGGTCACCTAACAGTAAGTTACTACTGCCACCCCGGGACCTTCACAACCCAAAAAAAAGTCTAACCATCCATCTATTTATCTAAATTCGGAGCGTAATCAAACTTTTAATAAAGAAATGTGATTAAATAAAGCTCCTTTATAATATTTATTTTAGTAATTAAGCCAACAAAGTATAACCCCATAAAGCCAGATATTAAATCCTGCTTTTGTGCCAGTTTAAACAGAAAACAATGGCGTAACAGAGAAGGAGTTTGTGTTTTAAACTATGTTTTACCCCATATTAATCGATTATTAAATAAAGTTAGCAACAAACACGAAGTATGCTAATTCGGCTTAACCCGACGTGTTTCTGAATCTATTAAGCATAAAACTGTTTGACAAATACAAATACAGGTCGAGTTTGGACGGCCTATTAAAATTGTAACATGAGAGGACCATGATTTGGCACATACTGGTCTCCTCGACGGGAGTTGCACACCTACCACTTTATCACCGAAAACCAATAACGTCACCCACTCGGTGAATATAGCGAGTGAGTGATATTTATCTGTATGTTATCAGTTGCCCAATCACTCCCTCCCCTCCTACCTTATTTGAGAGGGAGGGGAGGCAACAAAGTTGTGGCAAAGCACTTATGTCTCTGATTGATACTCTCATTTATCATCAGGTGTTGCCGCCCATAGACACATGCAACTCAAGATTGTGATGAGGATCATGGGTTGTGATAAGATCATTTGTTCTGTCTGGGTGTAATTTATCTACATATCGTCATGATAGTAGAATAATGCCGGTTTAAAAAAAAAATCGAAATTCAGTTTTTACGATATTTGGATAATACATTGTCTAAATATTATTACCACATTCAAGAAATATTTATATGTATATTTTAGATTTTAAGTTATTCAGTGTTTGCTTTTTTTTTTCGCATTTTAAATTATTCTCATGCTTCATTTTACTTTGAACGCCTATCAAACAGATAGGCGTTCAAATTAAACTGAAGCATGTGATTTTTCTAGAAAATTCAATTGTGCAATAAAAATAACAACTAATATTTAAGTTGTTATTTTTATTGCATTTTATAACAAGCCCTATCTTCACTTGTATGCCAATTTTCATAATTACAGATTTAGAATTAAAAAAAAAATCTCAAAAAAAATAACATAATTATTCGAAATGGCTGCCCTGTAAAGTTCAATAAAAGTCAGATCCAACACTATTGTACGACTATGACGATATATATCTATATAAATATGATTATGAGCAATCTGGTTACCATAGTACATAGTACAAGCTTTGCCTAGTTTTTGATCAGACGGCCGTGTGTCAAATGTTAGATGTCTGAAGATATTATTATTATGAATGTACACATTGTTATTAATAATCTTAAATTAATTACATAATGATAAATCAGTTTTAACCAGTGTAACATATTTTTTTACCTTAATTATTAAGGCTGAGGATCCAACTCACTACTCTTCTCTCTACTCACGACGAATTCCGAAAATAATTGGTATTAAATTCAATCCAATATTACAATAAAATACTCACCTCTTTGTGCAGAAGCCGCACATGGAAACTGGCCACGTCACTAACAGGTTCACCGGCTTCCGTGACGTAATAGACAAGCAAAGAGCTGACGGGTGCCATGTCGGCTGTCACCGGGAACCTTTGAACAAAAAAAATGGAATAAATACAATATTGTAATAGAACAGTAAACTTAATATGACAATGGTAGAACCAGTCTCAGAAAATTAAGGTTGAAGAATAGCCTACGAGTATTACAATTTAGAATGACTTAAGAGCATTTAGTCAGAGAATATAAAAATATAGTTACCTCTTTAATCTATATATATATATATATATTATAGTATATATCAATTAATTATCAAGAATCATTAACATCAATGATTCTTGATAATTTAATGACATCTATATTCAGATATCCTTATTCAGGTGTATGTATAAATAATTAAATAACGAACACGAATTATTGCAGCGTTACCTTTCATTGAGCCCCAAATAGAATTGAAATAAAGATATCGTATTCCGAATAAACATTCGTTGCTTAATTGGCACCCTTAAATATATTTCCGAAGCTTGAATAAAAGTGGGTTATCGGCGATATAAATGAGAGGTCTCGTATATAATTTGTCCCAATTTGTCTACATTGATGCCAATAAATTACGGAACTGATAAGTTTTTTTTTATATAAATGGAGCACCATCAACGGAAGTAATGTGAGGAGATGTTCAAGCATAGGTATTGTTCCATTGTTCTTCTTTGCCCTGTTGGTAACCCAACTGGTGTTTCATATTTTATAAAAAATATATGTACTCTGGTACATCTGAATAACCAGATTTCTATAATATATGACATGTATTTCCTCTATCAGGAAGCATTGCGATATCAAGAACATGCAGCGACAACATAATTGCTATATCAGAAGAATATGTTAAGTAAGTTGTGAAACAAGAATAAATATACCAAGAATTATTGTCAAACTAAATTTAATCTCACAAGTTACGTGAAAAATACGATAAATCAAAGCTTTTGCCACTTTGTGGAAGTATGAAAAAACTAAAAATTTAACATTACAGCAGTTTCTGGGTCAATAAAGTCCACCTGTGTGCCATATTTCACAGCTTTCACCGACTTTGTAAGGAACAAAATTCTTGTAACTGTTTTAACGACATTTTTAAGGCGACGCAGCATAAAATATTGCGTGGTTTCGGCTTTTGTTGTGTTGTTAAAATGTGAAAAAAAAACCATTGAAAGATATTGTTTTTAGACTACAATCTCATTGTGATCTTAAATCGATAGTTTACCTGATGGCTGAGATTCGAATACACAACATGTTAAGCGTTTGTATTATTCCCTACATCTACAAGAACAAAGCACGAACTTACGTATAAAGTGAGTATAAATAGGACTAATAATTGCTTCAGAGCTCGTAATGCCGGTTAAACCTTAAAGTTATAGGTATACGACCTCTGCTCAAGGTATATTTTCAATCAATCAGCCTATTGCAGACCATATCATGGAGAGTGCTCCGAGGATTTGTTCGGATTAATACCGCCATCGTTCCACACTGCAAAATTTTTATCCTCATTACCTGGATAGTTGGCGCTCAACTACTGTACGCTTTACAAAAAAAAAGTACCTATGTATTTATATCAGTTGTCTAGTAGCCATAGTACAAGCTCTGCTTAGTTTGGGACTAGATGGCGTTGTGTGAATGTGGTAGAATATTATTATTATTCACTTTATTTACTTTATATACATATTATTTACATTTTTAAACATAAACTTTATAAAAAATACATTTAAAAAATCATTAATATTCGTATTATTTAAAAACTTATTATTATTCATTTTATTATTATTATTATTCTTAACTTTTGTGAGTCATTGATTTAGAGACCTACGATCGCTGTTTCTTGTTATTACTTTGTTTTTATTTTATATTATGCTCACTAAGTGGACTGTAATGTTCTCTGAGTATTATTAAAGTTCTTTAAGCCTAATCTCCAAAAAGTCGGGCACTTTTTAACGACAATAGCCTAACTCCCTTAATGTACTTAAGTGAAGTCAAAATATTGTGTGAAACTTATAGGCGTTTAATACGAGACATGAAGATGAAGAGAGACAAACACAAACTGATATGTTGAGGCAAAAACAATTCTGGGTGCATAATTTTTGGAGAACATGAGAGACAGTGTTAGTCAAGACCAACGTGCTTCCTCTTTTCTGCCCAGGCTGCACCCCATATCCCGACAACACCGGCACATCCGGCTTAAACTTTGTTTCAATTAGTTTGCCTGTCTTATGTCAAGACGTGGCGCGGTGTAATTGTAGCGAAAATTAAAAAAAAAATACAGACGAATTGATAACCGAGGAGGTTATTTTTTGTACCTCCTCTTTTGTGTTTTGAAGTCGGTTATAATATGAATTCTAAACACATTGAAATACGGATAAAATAAACTTCATCAGAAATAAAATCCTTTACCGAGCCCTTTTGAGTGGCTTGGCTTTCTGCAAGATATCACAACGTGACGGGGTATGCTTTGGCATGCTGCTTCATACGAAAGCATCCTTCAGCTACCATAAATACGTTTAACAAAGTAATTCGAAGTCTATAAACATTTGCATTTATTTTCGTACACCGATCAATAGATGTTACTATGATGAGATGAAAATACATTAGACATGCAAATTATGAAAAAAAAATCGTTTTCGTTTCGATATCTGTTTTTGCCGCCCCCTTGAAAATTCCGCCTCTGCACACCCGTACCCGGCGGCCTTGAGTCGTGGATACCAGCTAGTTGTTAGATATAATCCATCCTAGTCATCACCAATATATCATTTTATATTAACGTAGCTAAATACCTGTCGTACCTACATTGGATGTCTAGTTTGATTTCACTTTGTCTAGCCGTCACTCAATGACACTGTTTGTAGTTGCGCCATTCTGGTTTGCAAAACCGAAAATAATAATCAAAAATTTATCCCCATTTCCCAGAAAAAAAAGGCACAAATTGTCTTTTAACGACATTTTTAAGGCGACGCAGCATAAAATATTGCGTGGTTTCGGCTTTTGTTGTGTTGTTAAAATGTGAAAAAAAAACCATTGAAAGATATTGTTTTTAGACTACAATCTCATTGTGATCTTAAATCGATAGTTTACCTGATGGCTGAGATTCGAATACACAACATGTTAAGCGTTTGTATTATTCCCTACATCTACAAGAACAAAGCACGAACTTACGTATAAAGTGAGTATAAATAGGACTAATAATTGCTTCAGAGCTCGTAATGCCGGTTAAACCTTAAAGTTATAGGTATACGACCTCTGCTCAAGGTATATTTTCAATCAATCAGCCTATTGCAGACCATATCATGGAGAGTGCTCCGAGGATTTGTTCGGATTAATACCGCCATCGTTCCACACTGCAAAATTTTTATCCTCATTACCTGGATAGTTGGCGCTCAACTACTGTACGCTTTTCGAGACAATTTTTGCCCCGCACAACCAATCTGTGGAACGGGTAATCGTCTGCGGTATTTTCTGGACCGATACGACTTTCAAACCTTCAAAAAAAGACGGTCCTCCTTCCTAAAACGCCGGCAACGCGTTTGTAACTCCTGAGTTGCAGACGTTCATGGGCGGCGATGGTCACTTTCCATCAGGGGACCCGTCTGCTCGTCTGCCCCCTCTAACATAAAGAAAAACAATGCTGAACATAGTCTTCTCCCATAGCTCTGGGTCTTCCGCCTTACGGAGGTATTATTTACACTCACCCGTACTAGCAGTATTCCTTTCATGATATTGATTTCTCTTCTCAGCTTCCGTACAATTTCAATACACGTCCAATATTCCCGTTTAATACATGTACATAGGATGATGCAATCTGTTGTGTGATTCTATGTATAATAATAATAATAATGTATTTACAAAAAAAAAGTATCTATGTATTTATATCAGTTGTCTAGTAGCCATAGTACAAGCTCTGCTTAGTTTGGGACTAGATGGCGTTTATTGATATAATACTTACATAGATGAGTAATTACCGCCTAAAATCGTTGCTACTGCACATCTGTCCACAGGCATATGCGTAGCAAACGTCAATTCAGTGTTCAATGTGGCGTCAACCGAGTTGAACATAGCGACACATGATAGTAACAATCGCCAAAATGGGTAAATGCGTAGTGAAAGAATGCGATTCAAGGTCACAAAACCATAATAAATCATGCGGAATTACTTATCACGTGTAAGTTTATGGTTTTTGTATTGATAATATCGTAAATAAGGCTATAATTGAAATAAAACATTGATTGTAATTTAGAATCAGTGTTGCCATTAAAAAATCATTTTTGTTTTCCCACATTAGTGGGAGAATTTATAATTTATGAAATAATATGCTTTATACTGTTTTTAAACATTTTGTCAATAATAATAAAATATAGGAAGAACGGTAGTTGCTAGGGCTGAATCGATCACTTTTTTTAGGGACCCGTTGAACGTTCACCTTCTGCCAAGCTCGCAGTGACTTTTGTATAAAAGAATTAATTAATTCATTCATTCATTTTTCTTAATTAATTATCAAATATAAATAACAATTGTACAAAAATATATATATATATAAAATAAAAAAGTAAATAAATATAAATAAAAAAATTTAAAAAGCAAAAAAAAATATATATACCTATATTTTTTTTATTTTTTTTTATTTGTATTTTAAAATATTAAAAGAATTTGCAATACACCATGAGGATTATTTATTATAAGTACAAGTTGATCATTCACTTTTACTATTAAATGGCATTATTTATACATAGGTAATAATAAGATTGTATCATGAAAGTAAAATATTCACACAAACTTATAAAAAAGAGTCTAAAAGACAATTGTATACAAAACTGATGCTTCATAGCGGAGTTTGATTTTACACTGAATATAAACCCTTTTAACCAAATATTTCTAGTTATTTTATTATTTATACCTATTCCATTCAATTCGAAATATATTATTTAAAATATTTAAATTAATTTATTTTATTACAAAATTGTTTTAAAAAAAAATTGTTTCTTGGTTGTTATGGGTAAAATTTCATACGGTAGTCAACACTGGCCCACCATCGTAAAGTTATGTCTTTGTCTTTGTCTAAT